TAAAGTTAGACTGAAAATCTTTTGAAAAGCAGAAAGTTTTAACCCTTTATGGACAACTGTGTTTAATTAATAAAAACAGACAATCTGAACTCTCATAGTTTTTATTTTTCCAGATGCAAATTGTCCAGTTGACATGACTTTATTTTCTGACCTTGTACTAATCTAACTATTCATTTTTGAGATGTACATGAGTACATTATGTCATATAGTTGCTTTTAGTGAGGAGTTCATGACAGTTTATTAAAATAAACAACAGTATTGATGGTAATATTTAAGCAGAGTTCTGATATCAGAAAAGTATCAAGTATGGATCATAATCATCATAGACTATCCGATTCAGGACTCTGGCAGAACTAGAGTATTACCTCAAGTGAGGGAAGAAAAAAGAAAAAAGGAAAATAGATAGAAAAATACTTTTAAACTAAACTAAAAAAAGTACTAACAGGGTTTGGTGACCTGGACAAAAATCAACTATAACATGATTGATGACCACCACTGAGGCTGCATTGGTATTGCTATACCGTGTCTAAGGCAGAGGTTTATTGCTTGGAAGCTGTCCTGTAAATCCCTCGCTTAGCAAAACAAACTCATCGACCTCCGTGTCCTCAGCCGGGGGTTAATTGTGTGCCCCATCAGGGGATATAATGACCTCTCAGATGGTAAAACATACAGCACAAGCCCTACGTCAGGATGCAAAGAACTGGGATTACGGCATGAGATGCTGATGACCTAGTTTTTGTTGTTTTCTTTGTCACACATTTTCTTTCTGTGGGAAATGATAAAACAAAAAGAGGTAGTTAGAAGGAGGAGGCCGCAGACTGTGGGAACATGGTGTACCTGTGTGCAGTCATTTGAGGGTTTAACATTGGAACAGGTTCATCTTTTATTTAACATGTAACCAGTTACAGAGACCATGCAAGTTAATGTCTGTGGAAAAGCTCCCCATTTAAACAAACAGCATGCTAAAACAATAAATTAGATAAATATAACAAACAGCTGAAAGTTTGTGGATCAATCACAGTGCAGAACAAGATGTTGAGTTTCAACACAGAGCTGGCTCAGGATGGTGCGGTTGGTGAGCAGGAGGAAGAACGTGCATTATAAAAGCAAAGTATGAGAGAGGGGTAAAGAGGAGAATGGGACGAGGCTGGTTTCCAGCAGCGTTGTGCACTTCAGTGCATCTCCAGACTGAAATGAGGACGAGAGTGATATACAGTCAGTGGCTGCATGAGAGTGCAAGTGTGTGTCAGGAGTTCAAGCAGAGGGCACGGGCTGCACTGCCCTGCCCCCATCCACTTTGATACTCATTTCTCATTTGATCACCTTTTTTTTTTTTTTTTTTACAAAAAAAAAGAAAAACATAACATGACGCCTATGGAAATATGTTTTACATGCTGACGCCTATGGAACTGGTTTGTCAATTGATTTCTAACTCAAAGTTATGTCCTTTAGATGTATTCTGTGGTTGTATGTGTGGCTTTTTTACTGGTTAAGCCATGTGCTAGGAAGATTCTAGTTATCCTCAGAATAACGGTGCTTGTTAAGGCAAGACAACCATAACTTTATATTAACTCTCCATTATGTCCAATGAATTCCAAATGTATAATTACAAGCATGGTGGTAATAATTATAATAGATTTTTCCTTTATATTTTTAACAGAAATCATGGATCTAGTTTGAGTTGCTTAGCTTTTTGTGAGTAAATGCATAAGTAAACAGCACCATACATCATGATTTCAGAAAAAAAGGACAAAGGGTTAATATATACATTATATACTTGATGGCCACTTTATCATGTAAGAATTGCCAGTAGCAGGTTGGGCCCCCTCTTGGCCTTCGGTTGTACATCCATGATGTGTTGATTTGATTTTCGATTCACACAATTCTGCTGGAGGTAACCCTCAAAAGGGTTATCACACTGTGGTCAGAATGTTACAGAAGTACTCAGGTGGCTTCTTGGGTTTATTTTTACTAAAGGGGCCCAAAGTGTGTCAGGAAATAATCCTCCACGCCATTAGACCATCACCACAAATGTGAACAGTGTGACTGCACAGGAACCATGCTTTGATGTTTACACTGACTTCTGACGCTTTCTAAAATGGCACCTTCACACACGATAAGAAAGATCGGTTTATCTCTTTGTTTGGCAGGCGTAAAACCCGTGTGAATACTTAGCATATTTGCGGCTTCAGAAACAATGTGAAACAGTTGGTGAGGTTAGAGTCTTTTTTTGACACCTGATGTTCTGAGGAGTGACTCGGTCGCACTCTATGGGCGTGAAAATCTGAAGGCTTCTCTATGAAAAGGTGTTCACAAGAGTAACCTGTGCTTGTTAAAGGGTAGCAAGTCACACTTACAGGACGCTTATAAATTCAGTCCAAAGTGAAATTGGGAGAATTTATGCACAACATCTTTAAAGATCAACATGAAGCTTTGCTAAAAATAATTCAGAGGTTATGTTCTATCACAAAACCACAAGAGCCAATCCTACTGCAGCTGGAGGGTGGAGAAAAAAAAAAGAAAAAAACATCACCAACTGTCATTTCTGGCTCTGGTCAATTGTTACAGTCTGCTTTTTGAATTCACAAAAAGGGACATCTACTCAGAAGTCCATAAATCCAAGTAAAGCGCAGAGCAAACTGACAGGCGGCACAGATTAAGGGAGTGTGTGCATGTGTGTGTATGTCACAATGAAAATCCTCACTTCTCTTTTGTTTGAACTGAAAGCCTTTGTCTGATATGATTTTCTTCATATAATTAGAAAAAAAAAATGTTTTTCAGTACGTAAGTAATTAGACTCATCTAATTATAGTATATGACTATCTGGTGCACAAACTACAGTATCAGTAAGGAGAAAAAATCTTCAGTGAGATTCACATGACCTTTCCTCTTCATTAAATCTGACCTTCATTTCTGATTAAATGTAAAAATGTTGTTCTAAGCATTTAAATGGTATCTCTCAAAAGTGAGTTGATATCATACATTTTTCGTAAATATTTTGTAATATCTTTCATGGGAAAACACTGAAGGTGTGACACTTTGATAAAATATAAAGTAGACATTGCCAAATTGCTCTCAACTCAAAAAAATCCAACACACCCATTAATGTATAAACCACCAGTAACAAAGGAGAGTATACTCCTCCGTGAAAATGTCTAAACCGTGTCCATGGTGTCAAAATCCTGGTTACGAATTACGCAGCTGCTAGATTGTTAGAGACCTCAGGAAGGCGGCGGCCGTCCTGGAGATGTTTGGGGTTATTAACACATTGAATTACTGCGCTTTGGCCCAATTTCAGAAAGAAAGGGGTTCACGTTCTGCGTCAGTATGTTATGGTACATATTGATGTACATGGTTCCCTCAATAATAAACTGTTACTACCTACAGCTGGCAGCACTTATAGAGCCTCAAACCATAAAACTCGTGTCTTTGTATTCCTCACCTGGTTTCTGCCACTGAGGCTTAACACCATCCAAACCAATTAGGTTTATCTTGGTGTCAGTAGAGGTCAGGTATGGTTCCAGTTAACATCTTTGTCTGAAGGGTTTAGGACACTACAAAAAAATACATTTGAAAGTAAGGTTTAGGGAAGAAGCTAAAGTTGAACTCCTGGCCAGTAAGTGGTGCAGGGTGCACCTCCTCTCGCCTGCTCTCATTCAAACCTTTAATTGTACTGTTTCCTAGCCAGTTAATAGATCCACCAATGTTTTCTAATGCTAACCTTATTAGCAAACATTTAACCTACCTCTTTGAAAGCTAGTGGGCAAGTTCTGTGTGGTTTCTGAGCTCAAGTAAGTACCCAGAAGAAGCCATTCTTCAGCACTATCTACTAGGATCTAGCAATGCCAATCAATAATTTTAACCTGTTGGTAGTGAATTCTTTGATGTTGGCATTATAAACAGGGGTAAATATTTATATATATTTTGAACCCATCAAGAATGAAAAAATAATGAGTTTCCTTTTTGAGTGAACATCCTCACAACATAATTTTGCCAATACTGGGAGCGTTTTCACAAATGTGCCCAAACCCTTGTATTTTTTCTTAATCTGACTACAGCAGGGTTTCCGGGGGTCATTAAAAAATCACTGAAAGTCATTAAATTATTATTTTTAAAAGTAAGGCCTTAATTGTCATTACAATTCATTAAATGTGTTTATCGTGGCATTTAAAATGCTTTATTAAAAAAAATGTTTATAAAAACAATTTCGTCAGACATATATCACAATATATTTGCGTGGAACTGCTTCCGGTTGATCGCAAAGCTTTATGTTCAGAAAAGAAGCTTGAGTCGGAAAAAAAGCTAGAGAATGAGGGGAAAAAAGCAAATTTCAACAAAAGTGCTTGGAAAACGAGGAATTCGGGACATGTCTGCAGCCTGTTGATGGGTACCTGTTGGTGGCATTAAAATTATTTCTAAGAGCATTAAAAAGCATTAAATTTGAGTTATTTATTCCTGTATAAACTCTGTACAGGACATAACTCTAAATATTAAGGTCTGTGCCATCCATGACATTTGGAAGCTGTCACCTATTTTTGTGGAAGGTTCAGCTAGTATTGTGATTGTGTGTTTTGTTTTTGTTCTGGTGTTAATTCAATCACTTTACACCAAAAATGATTTTCTCCTTCGTGAAAGGAACAACTGCAAATAATTTTTTAATGTTTGAATGAAAGAGCATGAAACGTAAAAGTCAAATTTTTTTCCCAGGCCTTCGTTAGAGTTGTGGAGATTGACAGCCATTTTTCTGATATATTGCCTTATTTATTTTTATATTTTTTCAGTGGTTTTATACAAGGAAGCACTGTTTCCGTGTTGCCTTGTAATACATCTATAGGTGTGCATTTAGTTAGTTAAAATACAGAAGCTGTGATTTGTCAATACATCATCATTTGGGCATTCCTAAATTGTATTAAGGTATGGTCATCTTAGGTATGTGAAATGTAAAATTTGAAACAAAAAAAATCCCTGATAACCTGCTTGTTTCTTTTGTCCTTGTTTAGGTTCCACCAGAGCTGTTTAACTTGTCCATGTGACAGGAATCCAGAATGCATGAAGAAACACTGTGATATCTCTGTGGCTGGTCCATGACACCAAACCCCATTAAAACCTTTCCACTATCCACATACCCCTTGTTCTCATCACACCGGACTAACAATCATTTACATTTACACCAAGTTCCAGTATGGCCAGCAAGAGGAAATCCACTGTGCCCTGCATGATACCATCCAAATCCAAACATGCACGTGAGGAAATCGTTCTGGGCTCGCTACCAGAACTTCTGCCAACAATCCCAGAAGACAGCATACTTAGCATCTCTGGGGATGAGTCTGGCCACTTCTCTCAAAGCTCCTCCAAATCTGAAAGCAACAGTGAAACACCAAAAGGAGGTACTTACAGCTGTGTCACTTGCCGATTCGAGTCCAGAGATCTTAACTACTTTTTGGATCACATGCATAACTGCCACTTAGACTTCAGAGCCCAGCCCACCTTCTACTGCCTGAACTGCGGGGTGTCAGTTGTCCGTTTCGAGGCTCTTGCTCTGCACAATGCTAAGATCCATCCCAAGATTATGGAGGGCCTGGTTACCGCCTCCCTAAGTGTCAACAAAAGAGATGGAGTGACGACTGTGGAGCAAAGCCTATTTACAGACAGTGGAGAAGACTACAAAGAATGCGGGATCTCCCTCACCAAAACACCGATCGCAAAGATGATGAAAGCCAAGGGGGAGCACAAAAAGATTGTTGTATCCCACACTGTGGAGGTACGGAAGATAGACACTGGAAAGGAGCTAGACTCCAACATGCTGACTAATGTGCCTGAACTCCAAAACGGGGCTCTCAGTACCTCTGGGGCCCCAGCTATGCCGAGGACTACTGTCACTCATGTGATAACGACAGTGTCCAACCAAGTCTTTCACCAGCACAATCCCCCCCTTTACTCCCCCACTTCCTCTGACGTTAATAAAGATCTTCCAAAGGTGATGATCCCTCTCAGCAGTATCCCCACCTACAATGCCGCCATGGACACCAGCAGTTTTCTCAAGACATCGTTTGGCAAGTTTCCCTACCCAACCAAAGCTGAGCTCTGCTACCTGACGGTGGTTTCAGAGTTCCCTGAAGAGCAAATCAAACTCTGGTTTACTGCCCAAAGGCTCAAACAGGGCATCAGCTGGTCTCCAGAAGAGATCGAGGAGGCCAGGAGAAAGATGTTTAACACTGTTTTTCAAGGAGGAGCACCACAGAAGCAGCCTGTGACAGCTCAACAAGTCAATCACATTGTAACCCACCACACTGTCACTGGCCTTCCGGGCTTAAAAGGACCAAATTTTCAAATGGCCAAAGTTCCATACGGAGGTATGAAACAAAGGTCAGTCGGAGTCATAGCCACACAGGCCAGCTTGTCAACCAAGCCTAATGTCACAAGGGTCTCGTATTCTTCTCTAGCTGCCCCACCAAAGTTTCCACCTGCTGTCCGAACAACACAGGAGCCTACCAGAAGTACTGAAATCTCCGCTGAGCCAGAGAAGAGCAATGGTCTTGATGCAGCTGGAGGCAGCGGTTGTGTCAGTAGCACCAGCAGCAGTCGAAGCAGCAGTAGCAGCAGCATCAGCAGCTATTCCAGCATTACCAACGGTGTTGAGAGCAGAAAACCGGTCAACAGCAACAGCAGCCAGATCAACACCGCCAATAGCATTGCCGCGTGCTCCGGGTTCATTAGCAATAACAGTGAGCACTGCATTGCTGACACCAATGGCAAGCCAAGCGTCAACAGCTTAACAACAGGAGCGGAAGCTCCGGACGCCTCTACGAGTCAAGCAACAATAGACAACACCAGCAAATCAAACTCCAGCTGTAACAATCATCACAGCAGCATCGTCTGTGAGGCCGATGGGGCTCATGCCAACAGGGCTGATGATGAAAACAACAGCTATACACATAAGACAGACAACAGCAGTATTAGCAGTGATAACTCCAGTTCTACTAGTGATGACAGCGTCCCTAACAAGAATCATGCCAGCAAATCTCCAACTGAAAGCACCAGCACTACTGTCATTACAAAAAGCAACTCATCCATTATAGATGAGGGTGGAAGTAACAAAGACTTTCCCATAAAAGGGATATCAATCTTACAGAAGCTCATTAAGCAGGAGGACCTTATTATCGGAGAGAGGGCAAGAAAAGAGCTTAGAATTGACCCCATTAAGATCAATTTTAAAAGGTTGAAGATGAACGAGCCACAGACTACGTCAGACGTTATTCAAGAACCCAAGAGTGATATTGAGGTGTCTACCTGTCAGACATCTTTCTCACCACCCTGGAGCAACAAGACCCCAAAACAGCTGCAAATCCTCCGCCAGGCTTTTTCCAACACCCGCTGGCCAAGCAGCCTTCAGTACGAAGAGCTAAGCATTCAGACAGGACTTCCTAAGCCAGAAGTTGTGCGCTGGTTCAGTGACAGTCGCTACAGCCACAAGAATGGGCAGCTGAAATGGTTGGACACCTATCAACGCCCTTCAGGAGAGTCAGAAGACACAAGGGGCCGCCAAGACCCTGAGGGGGAGTCACAGGAAGAGCCTTCTCAGGCAAAGAAGAAACTGGTTGAGAAAGAAACAACCGAACAGCTGGAAGGAGAAGCAGGGCAGCGGCTTGGGTGGCAGGATTCATGCGAGCCGCTGCTGAATCTCACAGGGTCCGTGGCTGATGGCGGTAAGCATAACAGACCTGAGGAGGCAGGAGAGATGCAGGATCCCTGGTTAGAAAGAAGAGGAGGGGAGCACCAGCAGCCAGTGGCGAGACATTCACTGATTGAACAAGAGGCAGACACCAATCAGGCCAGGTAAATCCTCAACTCTAGTATATTGGTGCAAAATAAAACATACTTCTCATGTTGGCCCTTTGGCCACTATGGTTGGTTTTTACCCAAATTGTTTAGGTATTGAGCGGTTCCATCTACAGCGTAATGTTTTATACCAACTATACATCAATACTCTGCTTATGAAAAGGAATCAAAACCTAAATGAATTTGAATAGATTGTAATAATAGGTTTTAAATTTTCAAATGGGATCAGAGCCATGATATTTTGTCCGCCCAGTTAGAAGCACTAAAAAATAAAAACACCAACTAATCAATATAAACAGGTACAATTTCATGCTAATACACCATCACCACCAAAACCAATATGGTTTGGGCTAAAAGCACAAATCAGAAGTAAAATTATATTTTTCTAAACCATGAACCAAAATTCTTGTTCTTGTAACTATCAATACTTTATAACAAAATATTGCCACCTTATAAATATCTTTCCAGAACCACTTTTGGAAAGATAATATATAATTCAAACAAACTGAATGTGAGAAACATTGTTGAAGAAATCATTGTAATACATGAAAATACTGGAATACAATATCGGACACAGTGGTTTAACAATGTGTACGAAATAAAAATAAACTTCTCATTCACTGTGACACTTTTACAAGCTCAGTGCTGTTTATCAGCCAAGAAAGCAAAACTGATGTAAGTCAGGTGTGGTGATAAAAGCATGACAGCTTGTTGTTTGTAGTAGGAGCTGTGTGATGTACAGTAAAAAAAGAAGTCTGTACAGGTACTCATGCTGAGACGCTTTCTCCAGCAATCAAAGGTCTGTGTTTTACAAGCTATTTTTAGAGAAGTAGGGCTCCTAGCACTGAATTATAGATTGAGCGTGCATGCTAATATATGGGAATAAATCAACACAAATGTCTTTGAGACGAAGCTCGGAAAGCCACTTACCTATGCACTAACACGTGTCTAGGTAATAATGCCACCATCCGTCCTACTGGGATTCTGCTCATGTTTTGTTCATGTTTATGTTTCTGACAGGGACCGCCTGAGGATGGAGCTGCTGGAGGTGTGATGAAGCGGCGGAGAAGTGACGTTTTAACGCTGGCCCGCTCCACTGGCTGTGATTTTTTTTTTCTTCTCTTTTTTTTTATTTCTAAAGAAAAAAAAAGTGTGTTCATAATGACAGCAGATGTGATTGTAGCTGGACTCAGACTGAAACTGTGAATACCCCCCCACCCCCTCGTCTGCCTCTTCCTCTTCTTCTTCTTCTTCCATCTGCCATCACTTCCTGCCCCCGAAGAAAGAAAAAGAACTTCTCACCTTTTGAGTCCTGTGATGTTTAAGCCTTTTATGCTTCTCTGTGGTTGTGTGGGGAGGGTGCACATCGAGGTCAGTACTAGGGATCAAAGGACAGAAAGAAAAGACGCACACTGACTGGAAAACTGACTTGAATGAGCAAAGCTAGGTTAGGATAGGGCCGAGTTGTATTGTGTCTGGGCCGTAGGGATATATATATATATATATCTATATATATATATATAGATATATATATATAGATATATATATATATATATATCTATATATATGGTCAAAACTGCACTAAAAAAAGATGGTTTGTGCTGACTGGACAAACAAAAGATGTGTTAAGGAAATGTTATTGTTGGCTTTTGTGATATTTTATACTTTTTCTTTTTTTTTTTTAGCAACCAGTACTTCAGCACTGCCTTGAATTTTACTTCTGTTAGTTGGGTTTTCAATTCTATCTACTCTACTATAGTCACTGTAAGTCCAGATGCAATCAAATGTTTTATTCAGATCTGTATAAATGTTGGTGATCACTTTGCAGTTCAGCTATACGCGAGAGGCTATCTACGATGCACTAATAAAGACAGCGATGCTTAAAAATAAAGAGAAATCACTCTGCTTCACTGTTAAATGTATTGACGGCTGTCAAGATCAATACACTACACTGCCCTGCAAACTGAACAGAGAGAAGCCTGTCACGCTACCGTTTGCCTTACTCAGCTCTGTGTGTTTATATGACTCGTTTGTTCATCACCTTGCTTTCGAGCTACTGTGCTGTCCAGAAATAAAAAAAAGCATCAAAAAAATAAATAAAAATAACTTGCCAGTGCATTGATGGTCACTGTTGGTCTTTTATCTGTGAAAAAAATATTGTGCTGCTTTCTGTACACTTGGAGATGTTCAATTTTAAGCTGTAATTGTATTGATTATTGCTAACTGGCAGAAATAAGAAATGTTTTAAAGGAAAATCTTCATTTGATCCCTAAACACTTACAGAATGTTGGCTAGAGATCCAAAAGGAGATAGTGGCTCTCCTCTGAATTTTTCCTTGTTTATATTGAAGCATAAATTCACTACATTAATCTCAAGCTGCATCCTGAAGCTGCTAATAGCAAAGAACGGTGCTATACCATCCAAATTGGGAGTTTTTTCTTATTTAAGTGTCTCCTACCAGCAGTGTATGCACTTGTGTCTGATGTTACAAATTGCTTTTGGTTTGAGATAAAAAAGAAATCTGGACTTGCGGTGTTAATGATCACTTCAACTTTTATGAAAATGGTCTTGATCATAAAGCACTGTTGTATCATCCTTTCTACACTTCTCAGTCTTTACAAAATAAACCGATTACTCAACAAGCAGCAAAAGTCTTTGTTTATTCATGAAGAAACTCCATCACCTTCTGAAACGATTGAGTGCTTGACAGGCCATGTGGAGGAATGCAGAGCCATCTGCTGGCGAGAAGAGGTTAATACAGTTTGTCCTAAAAATAAAATTAAAGTTTGTGAAACTTTAAACAGGATTTATTATTTTGGAATTGAATGCCATAGATCTGAAGTAGTACATTAGTGCCACATTGAAAGAAAAGGATGTTGTCAGTTATTCTAATTAATAAATCTTAACTTCCAAATTAAATGCACAGTGAGCACCTCTTTCAAAAATTACATTATTAGCAGCAAGAAGGCCTATTGGTACCCTGGAGGAGCTGCAGAGATCCACAGCTTAGGTAGAGACCTTAAGCTACATGTCAGAGGTTTAAAGTTTAGGGGGCGGGCATGAAATATCTAAGGTGCACTGGTCATGTGGGACCAAAACAGTTCTTAGAAATAAAGAAAATAAGAATAAAAGGAAAATGCAGGGCAACCCTGGGAGAGAATCAACCAATCTTCAAGAAACTTGACTCTTGAAGATTGAGTAGAAGTGGCCCAATCAGAATCCAAACTTAAAACTGAGAAATCATGGCAAGCCTACAGTATCAAGTCTTTATACACAGTCAAATCCAAAGGTAGATTTGCAAAGCTGGTGGAGAATTACAACAATTAACCTGACCTAACCTAAATATCAGGCTTTAAAAAAAAAAAAAAATAAGTGGAAAAAGGGGATTTACTAAAGACAAGTACAGTATATCAATTTGTAGGATTTTATTTTTTTTTTCCCAACCTACAATGAGTTTAAAATTCAAAACCATGAGCAAATGCTATGACAAAAGGTAAAACATGAATAGGATGTTGACTTTACAGCAGCTCATATCAACTTTCCTATCATAAGTGGGTTAGAGTGGAATTGAACAATATTTCACATTAAATGTTACATCATTCTTAATCACAATCAAAACTTGCCTGCTCTCATTACAGCTTGGGGACTTCTATTATTCAACAATTAGTTTTATTGTTGTTGTTTTTTTTGGCAAAGTTAACATACCTCAACACATTTCTTCACCGACTTTGAATCTGTGACGTTCAAGTAAGAGATATGGAAGTTGGAAGTATTTTGAACAACAGCTAAACTACCTTAAAAAAAATAAAATCATACATATGCAGAGATTGAGAGGATGCTGCTAACATGGAGGGAAATGAGAGAAAATGATGAGTTCACATTTACAGTGAAGTAACAGAAAAAGTCCCTGATAGAAACTGTAAAATAATATATTCACATTCTGCTTGCCTAAGTAAATATTGACATAGTTGCAATATTTCCCCTTTGCCTGCGCAGACATTCCCTCTCTCTCTCTCTATCAACATAGTCCAGTTTAAAATAATCACCCAGACAGATTTTGCCGCTGCAGCGCCTTGGTTACACACAAACACACACACACATGCTCATGATTCCACTTTCATCGAAGGCGTGTGGGTGCAGTTAAGGATTTCTTTTTCATTTTACTTTCTCTAACAAAATATAGAATATATCAATAATACATGGTCGGGCTAAAATACAGAGCAAGTGAACAAAAATAAAATGGTACAAAGCATTTAGAGGTTTTTTTTGCGTAACACAGAAGCGATAGGACCACAGAATTCAAAGCACTGTCAAGTTTTGTCCCTGAGGAGGGACAGAGAGAAAAGTCAGGGAGTCTTCAAATTACTGGGACTATGCCTCGACTCTCCATTGTGGACGCAGTTCAGTCTCGGTACCAGACGCTAGATCAGAGGTTTCTGGATATCCACAAAAATGGCCTCATTTCTTCCATTATTCCCTGCACAAGCTTTAAAATTCCTCGTAAGGTTCTGGCCACAGCGAAATTTATGAAGGCTAAAAAACACAAGTAGTCAATAAAAAAAACGTCCATCATTGATAAATAAACCAGGATTTAAAATTCATAGTCTTCGTCAGCCATGTCAATTGCCCAAGCAAATTTCTCACGCTGAGTTTTATTATAGATCTTCTCAATGGGAACACCCCATTTCTTACACCTAAAACAGAAAAAAAAACAAAAAAAAAAACATTTCTTAAATCAACAAAGAAGCAGTTTAAGTGAACTACATTCGGTAACCCCAGCTATGCTGGTTTTACAGATAAATACAACCCAGTGTGATCTTACCAGGCCACAGAAATGCGTGGGTCCAAGTAGTTGAGTTTGGAAGTCCCCAGGGCAATCTGCTTGTTCTCTTCACGATCAGTTGCCTGAACCTCCAGCTTCATCAGCTGCTCCTCTATCCTCTGAACAGCCTTTCTCTTGGTTTCTACTGCCCTGCAGAAATGACACAACAGGGGCTTTAGTAAAAATTATGCCAATTTTGGTCTCTGTATCAAAAGAAAAACATCTGCAGCAATAAACATCAAGAAGAACCCATCTGCTCCTTACTTTTTGGATTTTTCATCTCTCCGTACTTTGGCATCAGCCTTAGCGCTCTTTAGTTCTCTCTTAGCATCACATAGCTGATCCTTCTTGGCATCGATCTGACAAACAAAAGAAAACAGTGTTACAACTACAACAGGAGAGGAAAAAAATATGGTAAAGATTAAAATCCTTGACACCCACCCCTTTGGTGCAGTAACAGCCAACTGCTTCTCACTACATGCATGTAACTGAACTAGTCCATTTGTATTACCAACTCTTCAAGCACAACATCTCAGCAAGTAGGAAAAAAACCAAACACAGTGGTTTCAGAAAGCTGGATTTACTGATCTAAGAGATTACAAACTATGGGTCTTCAAGTTATATTAAGTTTTAAGTCTAAAAGGACCCTTATGATCTGTCAATCACGTTTCACTACTATCGTTTAAGGCCTCCCACAGAAATGACAATGGGTCACAGATAAAAAGAATTAAATCCCTCGTACAATTATATTGAAAAACACTAATCTAATGCACTTTTATAGAACATATCTACTTTACAGGACACTATGAATATACAACAAAGTATATTAATCTATATTAAAGTAATTGACCTATTGTTTTCTCACTGGATTTGTATTCTTTATTTCCCCCCCCAATCATTTCTTATAATTCTTGCCTTCCTCCAATTCATAAATTTTTTTATTTTTTAAAATATTAAATGATTGTCACCACTTATTTTCTCACCCTGTTAAGCCGCTGATATAAAAGCCCTTATTGGCGTTATGGCAATGCAACTTGCCAGGGGTGGTTACTTTAGCAGTGGGAAACAAGTCGAAAGCTTTAATCAAGTTAATTATAGGGTCTGTTATTAATCAGATTATAATTGAACACCTTAATTCAACAACCTTTTTTCCTCCACATATACGAGTACAATGACACATTAAATTCTAATCCACTATTTAGTTTATCTAACGGAATGGTGGCACAGTATTCTGCCTAAATTGTGTAATTGTAGCTTTTTTGTTCTTTACCTTTTCTTATTCAAGTCTTTAAAATTTCACAATGCACATATTTATATGCATTTCTACCTGATCATTTCATTTTAAGTACGTTTAAACATTTAATCCAAATATAGAAAGCCTGTTTGAGCCTTTCTTATCAAGTAATTTTGTGAAAGACAATTTCTACTTCACTGGAGTACAACAGTTTTAGTAGTACTATTAATACATTTTACAGACTTCACTTTATTTGACAACATAGGCAGAATAAGGCATCCTGACCGTGTAGCCCTCCACCCTTCCTACATAAATTATATTAGACATAATGCTGACATGTCTTCGCTATTAAACGTAAACTATAAATGCGGCATGCACAAGTTTTTCCATCAAAAGACAAGGATCAACTCATTTGACTAAATAAAAATGGAATTATGAAAGCTAGTCAAGGAAGGTCAATATGCCAAAACTTTACTGTAACATAAAATATTTACTCTGGATATAGTTCAGGCATTGCAATGGGAAAATCATTGGTTTACACTTTGCGAGCATGGACAGTCAAGTGCACAGCTGATGTTAGAAACTAATCATTTAAAAGTTAGCTGCACACAATGGCAGTTTAGTTCAGCTCATGCACAACCAGCTGAGTAGAGTTTGTTAAAGTTCAGTATGTATGAAATCAGACTGCACACCAGTCTTCCTCTCCAGTGTGATAGGCAGCTGTGTGCTGAAATTAGGTGGTACAAGAAAACAAAACACACACAAAAAAAAGTAAAAAAAATAAACCATAAACTACAACAGGGAGTTCCCTCTTCTCACTACTGGGCAACAGGCCTCAGTGGTTTGCAGTAAAATACCCTACTGGTCTCCTTTCAACCATGTAAATAATGCAAGTAGCTACTGGAGTCACTAAAAGCTAAAGTTTTTCCAAATGCTTGCGTCAGTCAATGTCACCTTAAAGCCTCTCAAATCCAAGCATTCAAATTGCAGATTGTAACTATTGTCTTCCCTCTGGTCAGCACAGGTAGTAGCATTCACACTAGTATTGCAATGATGCAACTAAATTAGGGAAATGTTTAATTTCATCAAGGCTCCCTTTAGCTTACAGCAATTCACATTTATTAGCATTATTCTTATCACTAACCAATATTTAGGTCTTTAACTGCATTTTATTTCAATTTTTGTGGTTTATATTTATGTTTTATTATACTTGCCTGCATGCTCTATGTGCCATTAATCATCTCCCCTATACACTGTGAAAAGTGCTCTACAAATAGCCCAAATGAAATTTAAATAAACAACCTTAAAGCATGGGAGGTACTCCCAACCACATCTACCTTAGCCTGCAGGTTCTGCATAGACTTCTCAAATGTCTTTGGAGGGGCTCTCTGATGGTTACACAGAATGGCCACAGCCCTGTTGGCCCGGTTGTAGGACAGGATCTTAGCTGGAATGTTGTCGTCAGCTACAAAGATAAGACAGGAGATCTCAGAAGGCTGAAAGCAAAAACGTAGAGCTCATACAGTGAAAGCATGCACTCCATTTAACATGCAAAAAAAAGAAAGATTAAAGCATCAAAATCCTTTAAGTGTTAAAAACGTTATTACACACCAGTAGTGAGCTCCTTCAGTTGTTGCTGCAGGGTTATTGAAGCGTTATATGTACGGAAAACTTTAGCAGTGAGACCATCCATCAACTCCTGAAGGTGCTTGTTCAGAATAGAAGTCTGCAAGAAAATCAATGCATCTCTTTATGGCTGCAATGAAAGCTCCTGGTTTTCCAGAGCAAAACGGTTTGAACGGGAAAATATGGCTTACGTTTAGACGATCAAAAAGGTCATCATCAGGTTCTTTGTTTTCCATGAACAACTGAAGGTTCTTGAAAACCTAAAAAACACACAAATAGAAGAAAAGTTATAAACACAAGCAATGGATAAAATTAAATCCCAGTTAAATTAGCAGACTCATCCTCACCCTTTTCTCCACAGGGACCCTGTTGTAGTAGCGGATCGAGTCTTTACCCAAGAAGTCAAACTCCACCACATACTCCTGACCTTCATTTTCTGGGTGCAGTTTGAGATGTTCGACTCTTAGGGAGCAGCAGCCCACCGTATCTGCTGTTTCACCTTCTTCTTTCTCATTTCCTGCTCTCAGAGCCAGCTGGTGGAAGGAGGAACGCGTTATCACACCGTTTACTAATGCCAACAATCAAGCAGTTATGATACATAGAAAAGGAACCGTTCACACTCTCTAAACCAACCTGATGCTCACCTTGTCAATGAAGTAGAGCGCCACGGCCCTTTGTCTGACTCTCATCTCCTTGGACTTCCAATCTTCCCGGTACTGTGCCCTGAGACGGTCCACACACTTCTTCAGTCGACGAGCCGTTTCATACTTCTGCCAATCCTTCTCCCCCTGAACACAATAAACAAGAGTTAACTTCTGAACCTATGAGAAGAACAGAATGGGGTTTTCAGAAATGGTCTTTAGTGCACCTACCTTGATTCTGGAGCTAGGGTTCAACATAATGTACTTGGTGGAGCCCTGGATGTTCTCTGTCCACGAAACCAACCAAGTCACTTTGTTGTCGTGGCGAACTTCTTTCCATTTAGTGCCCGGAGGAGGTGTGGGGTACTTTGAGTCCCTAAAACAAGGACATCAAGCTAAGCATCCAAACATTCCCCGGCAGTCAATGCATCAAACCATTAATAAAATCACACACTTGCTACAGTTTATGATGATATCCTCAGGCCTAATGCGCCTTTTGAGCATCCCCATTTTTGGATGGTCTCCTCGACCACGAAACAGGCCGGGCGGCTCAATGCGGAAGTTTGCGATGCGCTCCTTGTGGTTGTCCATAATACAGAAACCGTACTCCTGCAGGATTCGCTCATTTTCTTCTTTTATTTTCTTTAAAAATAAATACAATAGAAACAAACATTGGAAAGATGTTTTTTTTCAAACAGAGAAGTACTTTAGAATGCTATAAAAAAAAAAATCTGTGGATTATTATGACAGAATAACACTGATCATCTAAATGTGAAAAACAAAGACAGACTATGGTAAAATTTTTATTGGAACCAGCTCCATACACCCTGTATGAGATCAGCTAAACTCTTCTCTACATCAATGGTTTTCCATAATAGCCTATTACCAAATTAATGTAGGCGGGGTCATCGTGTCCAGGCCATATACAAATAATGAAACAATCAAAGACCTTCTACACACTTTAATGCTTTTAATCACAAGTATAGTAAGGAGGAGATAAAGGGTGTGAACAGCTAGAAAAGGCAATCTGTATGACAACAGGAGAGAGGAGCTGTAAAAATCTAAAAGGAAAGGAGCAGCGAGCGTAAGCTAATGGTTGCAATATCAAACGATTTAACAGTTGAAGAAAGGACTTCTATTAATGCATGCATAACTGTTGACTCCACTTCCCGGCAAATCAGTCAATTTTCAGTCAGACCCCGTAATGATGGAGAATCATCAGAAAAGCTGGTGTTGAAAATATTAACTTTTCCATGTAAAGGTCACAAGGAAAGAAAAGCAACTGGACTAGAGCTTCATCACATGGCACAGTGTAGTAACTAATGAGTGCCTACAGATCAGACTGAAGTCACTGCAGAAGGAAAGGCGCCTAAATAGAGGCACATCTGATCAACTAGTCTGTTAAAATACACAGCTAGTCTTGGCCACAAGCTGGTTCTTTTTTTTTTTAACCTTAAATCTTATAAAGTGTCTTACCTGTTTTTGTTCTTTTGTCATGGCTTTCCTTGCTTCAGACTGAGCTTTAAAATACTCGCTCATCTCAGTGAAGTTGCACTTATTCAGGTCTGTTATTACAGATTTTTCCTCAGAAGTCATTTCCTGTGTTTACCAAAGACAAAGCAAAGAGTGTTAAATTAGGAAGAAAAAAAATAATCTCAGTGGTTTATAATTAACCCAAGCTAATATTCCCCCTCACCTTTCTCCAGTCCTTAAAGAAATTTTTACGGAAGATATCCTTGGTAGTGTACTCGTGGTCCAACATCTTAGAAAAGAAGGTGGCCACTTCCTCCGCTTCTTTGCTCAGCTTCATATGTTTACCTGCAGTGAGACTTGAATTTTAATAAAATGACGTAATCTAGATATGTAATACCAGAACATATGCATCAAGGGTCGACTACTCACATACCATCATAATAAAACTTGACATTGCTAGGCAGGGGTTCATAGGGTGGGGCAAACACTGGTCCTTTGTGTTCGAGGAACTTCCATTTGACACCATCGGTGTATCTCTCTTCTTCCCACCTGGACTCAAATAATGCATTTAGTTATTATTCAACATGAAGACGAGCATGAAGAAATCTGAATGCTAGTTGGTGTTAACGCACCATTTCCACTTCTCCTCTGGTTCTTGCTTTGCTTTCTTCTTCCCATCAGTTGCTTCTCCTTTTTTGCCTTTTGTTTTTTTGGATTTAATGTCCTGAAATAAGGAAGTGAAAGTATTTATAGTATACACCAAAGATGGAGGATAGTTCACAACTGCAATCAGGCTTCCCCTGTAATTTTCTTAAAGCTTTGGCTCACCTCATCCTCTTGTTTCCTTTTCTTGACCTTCTTATCGTTTTCTGTCTTTATCTTCTTAGGCTTGAATTCCTCTCTGAAACAAACACTACGTTAGAAATCTAAAGGACCAACCATTCAACACTGGGACGAAGGCCTTTAGATGTTAGAGACGTACTCGTAATCATTGTCCCTCTCTCTTTTTATAGATTTCTCATATTTAGGAGAGTGGTAATCATCATCTGGCTCAGACTTCACATGTGGTGGGCTGCAAAGAAAAAAACAAACAAAAAACTTAGTCAAGTCACTGCGTGAGTGATGTAGCAGATATTCTGGAACTAAGATTTAAACCTGACAAACCTGGCAAAGCCGTTTTCCTTTTCTTTCTTGATTTTACCATCAAGGGACTTCATCTGAAATGAAGAGTATAGTTTGCCTCCATCATCCTCATTTTAACACAGAAGTCTTTGTTGGGGGAAACCTTGTCGTTCTACTATAAGCATGACTTTTTTTTGAAATATGGAAGCAGAGCAATGCAGTGTCTTTCAGTCCCCAGGACACAACATCCTTAATGTTTTAGTAGACTCTGTGCTTCAACATACGTAGATTGACTTAGCTGCTTCAGCAGGTTCCTCTGATGTACGCTTTATTTCATTTAAGTTGTGTTCGATTATAGAAGCTTTTCAGACTGACTTCCTCTGCACTAAAGATTTACATCAGTCAGTCTTTTGCCAATAACTGCATCTATTGTTCAACTCTCAAACAAAATGTGTCAGTTTAGGTGATTTTTCCAATTTAGACAAATAGGATAAAAAAATAAAATAAAAAAGCTGGATAACAAATCTAAAAAACTATAGTAGGCCAAATGTCTTGAGTGTCCATCCATATAGTTCACTTACCTTCTCCTCTTTTCTCTTTTCCTTGTGCTTGTCTTTGTGTTTGTCTGTGCTGCCATCTTTGTGCTTCATTTTCTCCTTTTCCTTGTATTTCTTCTCCATGTCCTTGTGGTCACTGAAGTAAAAGAGACATAAGTCTTTTGAACTACAAAAACCACATCATTGCTACCAAATTTGGGAGAGACCGTTGCTCTACCTGTTGCCATGCTTTAATTTCTCCCGTTCCTTGTCCTTCTTGTGTTCCTTATGTTTATACTCCTTATCTTTATACTTGTCTTTATGCTTATGAGAGTCTAAAAAGAAGAATACTGCATCACTTTCATAATTATACATAACAATTAAATTAAAGATGAGCAATTTCTAGAAGAAATGTTGACTGCTGCCGAATGTAACTAGCTTTTACGAAACACTGAAAGAAACTGATGAAGCAGTCTACAATTCAGTCAAACTGCCATTATTAAAAAGGTGAAAAAAAATGTAAGGATTTAAACTGATTCCAAAATAAAGATTTTTTTTTATAAAACCTCCATGTACAAGCTATAAAACAGTTATTACATTGTAGCACAGCACTGCCTAAAGCCTGTCAGAGTCTTTTAGTGGACTGTATGAATTAACGGACATGTTCCAACAGGCAGCTAAACGAGATATGTTTTTAGGGATTTCTACCACAAAACATCCATTCAAATACCCTGCATTTACCAGTTTGTCTAAGGATATCTAACAAAAGAAAAAAGGATTTTTTAACATGAATACTCCAGATCTTTTTAACAGTGGATCTCCCTGGAAGCTGTCTAGTTCATAAACTGTATCAAAAGGAGAGGATAAAAGTCCAGGTATTATAGCAATACACTTAACACAGCTAAATAAGGTAAATATTACAACAGTTTGTTATTAAATTTAACCAAAGAAGGGATTCAAAACATATGCAAATCACTATATTAGATTGTCCACCATAAAACGTACTAATAATCCAGCCATTTAAGTCTATATTTGGACTTAAACAAGCAAACATTTAAAAACGAATTATACATGCCTTATAGCAAAAAATAATATAAAGCTCTTCAAGTGTATGGGTAGATTCAGTTTAATTGCCTCAACTCTTAAAGGAATTACTTTTAACGAAGCAAACTTCACATATCGTCTGGTTCCTAAGCTTTATTGCTGTGGGAGTATTTAATAAAGCTTAAATCACTTTAAAGAAAGCTAAAATTAAGAGAGTTAGTAGTGACATCTTCAGTATTATTCCAACTTAAAAAGATCACTTTTAAACCATAAAGCCTAGAGTTCACGTAAGATAAAAGCAAAATACGGAAACGATAGATCAAGTGGAAAATGTCTACTGTTAGTAAATCAATTTTTAGCCTCTAACCTTAGCTTTTCTCCTCCCCAAACCGATCCACTCTTCACAGCCTCAGTTCAGGCCGCTAACACCAAAAAAGAAAATGGCGCAGAGACTAAGTCCTCAACCCCCAAACCCTCACTTTCAGATAAGAATTGTGCCGCTAAGCGCTCACGGATATCAACTTCTGAGTGAACTGACTAATAAAAAACCTCAAGCTGCGTGTCAATATTGATTAAAATCTGGAAAATGACAGGCGAAAGGGCTTTAACGAGGCCTCGCTTTTGAACAATAGAGGCTTGTGAGTGAGACAGCGGACTTAGTCTCTGGACGCCATTTCTGTCCTCTACTGAAAACTATGATAACGTTACAAGAACAGAGTTTAAAACAAGAAGGAACGGAACGAAAACTTTTTTTATTAACTTTAAGCTATGTGTGATGAAACTTACCATTGACTCGAGAGGAGAAGTCGATCTGGAAAATGAAAAAAAATGTATGTTACATTAGGCTAACTAGCCGGCTACCCAACTTTGAACTTGCTCAACAGCAGAGCGACAGTTAGCCAGAGTGCTAGGCTAGCTCGCTACGGCTATCACAGCTTTTAATAAACAACACAATTACCTAGTCTTCACCCTCCCTACATTTACCTAACAAAGAAAATAAATGTTTAACTGGGTTTAGCTATTAACGGGTATCCCCGGAAATATGAGACACTTTAAACAACGAATGGAGGTGTTAACGGGACACAGCCGGCCGGCTATTGTGCTAGCTACTAGGCGATCTCCACTCTTACCCAATGTACCCTGTCAAACCAAGAACATACACGGCTCTAACCTGTACCATATACACTCTATAACATTAGAATATAAAACAGCAATACCTGGTCCTCGTTATGGGAATGGTCCCCACTCATTTCCTAGGCCTTGTACTGCTAAAAACAAATTTAAAAAGTGAGAAACGTGTGGATATCCGCACACAAGCTAGATGCAAGCAGAATGAAGAAAAGGTAGGGTTGTGTAAGAGATTAAGTCCCAGTTGTGCACTGATGCGCATGCGCATTAGTTTAAATGGTACTCAGCTACGTAGCTCCTCCTCTTCTGAAAACGTGTTGCTGTTGAGGCTCTTCGTGGAGAGAGGAGGAAGTCCACATATTCAGCAGAGATCATGCCATAAAACGGCAGCAATCTCTCTGTTTTTTTTTTGTTTTTGTTTTGTTTTTTTAATTGAAGAATGAAAGTATTACAAGGCATATCAAAACAGTTATACAAAGTTGTAAATTGAATATCTTAGGAAGCTGAGCAGGGTATGTAAAATATAAAAAATAGAATCATACAGAGAACCTGTATACAATAATAAAACAAAAATAACAGATCGTTGAACAAAGTAATTAAATAAAAAACAAAAAAAAAAAAACAAAGTACTCTTGAATTTTAAAGTAAATTCTCAATATATTGCATCATTGATTGGGCTTTAGGGTTTTTACAATGGGTTAGTAGGCCTACTTCTTTTAATAAAAGCATCTCACTTATAAAAATATTGACAGATGGGGTAATTTTTTGAAATCGACACTTATGTATGAAAAATTTGGCCAAAAGAATTAAATTGTTATTACCATAGTTTGATTCTCTATCCCCCGTTAAAAAAAATACATTTTATTATATCAAAATTCAAAAGTGGTAGCAATCTCTCTGTTACTCTCGGTCGTGATATTTCCTATGTGTGACTTTTTTAAGTGAATCATAATAATAATAATAATAATAATAATAATAACAATAATGTGCCTTTATGAAAGTGGTGCTGATGTGGTGTTCTCATACACACCTTTGAAATCTTAAAAAAAAACATGAAATCCTAATAGGTCAACATATGAGGAGACTATTATGCTGTTGGTTTAAAGTGTTCCTTTAAATTACTGATGATCTTTGGGTGTTGAAAATTACAAATGAAGCATATTTTTATCTGTTAAGAAGTGAGAAGGAGAGCACATTTTCTTTACTTTAGTCTAGTTTATGATTTTCTGTTTTAAAATGCAGACCACTTGCTTGCATTTATTTGGTTTACAATCCAGCTCAGAAATTTAAATAGTTTAAAAATCAGCATTCACCTCTTCACATTTTGTGGATCCAAATAAAATGTTGTTTTTGCAAAGAACAATAAATAATTGAACTTTATTGAAATTTACCTCTGCATTTAACCAATCCCCTTGGGGAGCAGTGGGCTGTCATTGAGGGGCGTCCGGGGAACAATGTGGAATTTAGGGCCTTGCTCAGAGATCCAGAGTGGCAGCCTGTGTGGGGCTCTGACTCAGTACCTCCAGATTCCAAGCTCTACAGTATGTCCTAACCACTAGGCCACCACTCCCCATTAGAACGACAATCATGTGATATAAAGATAAGAAAGAACAATGATAAGAGTTTGTAATCTTTTTTTTATTAGTATTTTATTGTCTTTTCAACATTATAAATCTTACAAGTCACACACACATAAGAAACTTTAAAACTAAGAAACTTTAGTCTAAGTTGACTGTCCATAAATGCACATACTCATAAGATGACCAACATTCTTAATAACTAAAGACTAAATTCAAACTGACCTAACAAAAGGTTCAAAATAAAGAATTATCACTTGACATTTAGTATCAAACCAGGGTGTGTTATAAATATACTTTATGGTTTTCTTGCTTATTCCACTTCAATACCTCTAACAAAATAACCCTTACCTCTCAACAGCTCACAGGCTTCATACCAAGTCAGGTCTGTATTGGAACCCTTCCAGACCTTATTACGATTACTCCAATCTTATTGATGCAGTTAATTTCTCCATGACATAAATATTTGATATCAATCCATTCTTCCACTGTAGGTACAAAATTATTATGCCATCTTATGGTTATTGTTTTTCTAGGAGCCAGAGGTAGTATTCTCAAAATGTCGTTGTCCTCCCAGCTCTTTTTAGATTTGTTCTATCAATATTCCCTAGATAGTTATTTTCAAAGTGAAAGGGAATTTTAATTGTTATATCCTCTTCAATTACTCTGATTATTTCAATCCAATATTGCTTTATTAACGGGCAACACCCGAATATATGAAAGGGATGTGCGTTTCCAGCACAAAAGGATCGCCAGTACTGGGTATCCCCATATTTTCTCTGTGCTAGAGAAGCAAAGAATCTTATAGTGTTTTTCAAGCCATACTCTCTCCAAAATAATGAATATGTGGTTTTCCATTGATACTCATTAATCCTCTCCCAGTCCTCCTCTAGTACCTCAATATTTGCTTCCCTTTGCCATCTTGCTTTCATGCCCTCCAAAGTTTTATATAATTTGGAAATTACTCTTTGTTTTCATCATTGATTTATAGGCTTCAATTATAACTGTTATGATGTTTGGCCATGTTGATTCTGGATTCCCTTTTCTAACTTATTGTCCTAAATAACAGAATTTGAAATCGAATGAGTATTTTGGCTTATTCACAATTAAATCTCTAATTTTAAACTACATATACGTAGCTAAATTAATTAACCCTGCCAATTTTTGGTAAGGATGAGGTCAAGGCATTTTCAAATAGGTAATTAATCTGATGTTTTCTTTTGAAAGCAAGTTCTGATGTCTGTTTAGGATCATTGTCCCAATGGAACAAGAGGAAGGGGGATAGGATACTCAGGAACACCTCAAAAAGTGCCTTGCCTTGTTGACTCCTGGTTATCTAAGTTAACCTTAGATCAAAAATGATCAAACTGGTCCAACTGGGTTTTCCAACAGAGAAATCTACCCCAAACATATTCTAAAAATGCAAATTACACTTAAAATGCCCCAACCTTTTGAAAGGTTTAATTGCATTGTCAAAAGCAGGTTCACTCCCAGAAAACGCATTAAATTCCATCAATAACTTTAAAAAACAGCTTCTGTCATGATATCTGATCACTTGTTTCAATGATGGCTACACAACATGTGTGGTTTCTTGCAAATAAGAATTATGCAATTAGTGCAGGTGTATGTAGATTATTAACCTTTTATGAACAAGTTTGAACATGTGTTGATTAGGAAAAAAATCCAAATGAAAACATGTGTTGAATTAGTAAACGTTATCAAAGGTATATGAGGTGTAATCACCCTGACTTTTTTTTAACACCCTTTACATCGGCCTGTGTTAAAACCATGTTCTAGGGGGCCCCAATAGTGGGCATCAAACAGTTAACAGAAGAAAAAAAATATCAATGGAAGTTTTTGCATTTCTAACCTCTATCTTTACTCATATTTCTAAAGAAATTCTTACCAACCTGGACTGAAATTGTCAAAATAATTGAAACTGGTCTAAACTCTATACATAACTAATTAACATGTATACAAAGGTGAATTTTCTTCAAGTAGTTTTGCATAAAAAATACAAAATCAAATGGTTTGTCCTTATGTCTGTTAATGGGGCTTGACAACTGTACCTTTTTTTTAAAATATCTTATTTAGTGTAATTATTGATGATGCAAACATAATTCTGTCCACAAGAGGGAAGCAGAGAAGTCACTATTTCCATCTTTCCATTTTGAACAAACAATCAGAAAAGCATAATCCAATAAATGGTCTCTGCAGAAGAGCCAATCCAGTATTTCCAGCTTTGCCCTGTAACCTTCACAGCCAATCAAAGAAGTATATTTCCAAAAAATATGTGTCCTTAACTTTGCTTCACAATCATTCACTATCCATCTTTTTCAAAAACTTTCCATCAACCTGGTGAAGCATCACCAGCGGTTATGTGGTTTCCAGTGTTTTAGAGATTATAAAGTTAAAACTTCACAAGGCATGAAACAATGACGGTGTTATGTTTAGTTGAGCTGACATATTACCTGACCTAGCCCGTCTTGTACTGTACCACTATTTGGGCACAAGTGAGGTAAAATGATTTTGCTTGTCCATCTAAGCATAGAGTTAATGTTAATCAGTTGCCTATAGATTTGGCCACAAGATTTGAGGCAGAGATCGTGCTGTAAAGTCTTTAACATTTTAGGTCTGCTGTGGTGGGGAAGAGGTTTTCCCTAGAGTGTTTACCTGAGCTGGGACAAAGTCATAACATTTCTGAGTGGAACATGTTCACATTTTGATGAGTGCACACTCACAGAGAGACGTGTAATAAAAGTGTAATATTTGCTATTTCATCAATAAGATGTAGGGAAATTGCAACCCTATGTAATCAAATTAGTGAGCAATAATCTGATTGTCATGGTGTTATGTCATATTATCATACCCACACAAATCACATTATTCCTTCCTCCATCCCTGTTCAAAAACATAAAGATGGCATATGTGGAATAAATGTATGGAACAGATTAACTACTCAGTTTTAAATTGTCATAACTCTTTTTAAATTTTGTGTTTTGCCACACTCTTATCTTCTATTGGAAGATGACTTCCAAGCACTAGAAACAGAGGGCTATGAGTGACGATGAATGGATGGTTCATTTGCATAGATTTGCCACGCAGGGGTTCTGGCCTTCTGCAGCTGGAAACAGACCACCATCTGATCAGAAGTATTAGCATGACCTGTACCAGAAGGTGTTTAAAATGTACAGTATATAAACACAGCAAGGTCAGGCCATATTTAGTGAGAACAGCTTGTTATGATTCACTGTCATATTTAACAGATTGAGAAGTGTCCACTGCAACAAAGGGAGAAAACATGTCTTTTTGGGGGGACACAGACATGCCAGTGTTGTTTTCATATGAAAAAAGGTTAAAACATGTTTCATAAAACTATAATGGATTGACAGTATATTGTTTATTTTTTAAATAAATTTCCCTTCCCGTAAAACTCTAGCCTTCCAATTTGGCCCCTGTGGTCCCTGAGTCATCCACACCATCCACGTTACAACCAGTAACAGCAGGGCAGTCGCTATCAGTGAAGAAACCTGTAAAGCCTGACGTTGGTATCTGTAAGTGTCTTTTCAGATATTTCTGTTATCATATGCTATAATATTTTAAAGTGTTTCACATAAAGTTATTTTATCTTTCTGTCAGTTTACAATGACGTGGTATGGTGGG